CCCCCCCAAAAAAAAAGAGGTAATCAAATTGATTTCGCAGACCCAGGTTTAACAACCCTCTTCAAAAATCCCAGTTGTACTTCCTAGCAAACAACCCCTTGTATATGACTGTGAAAACCCCACGGCACGGACAGACGTGGTGTACCGCGACCGTGGCGTTGCTGCGTCTTGGCTTTTTTCAGGAATCTTACTCCCTGTGATTGGCTAAACGGTTAGCACCAATCGTTGGGTTTCAATTGACGTCATTTCCTGTCTCATGTGAAATGTTCATGAGCTGAATCGCAAGTTTTCAGTACAATTCTTTCTGGCAGACAGCACATGGTGGTAGGTGTTTGACCACCATGTGGAGCAGATAATGAGATTTAAAGATTTTCCAGCTTATAGAAACCCAGCAATTGCTTGTACCAAGGTAACTTGTTATATCGTGTTGTAGGGTCCACTGCATATGTTCTGACGGTAGTGGATGGTAAGCACCAACTATGGAACGCGCACACGGGACGCTCGTACGATGTACATGACCCTCACTGTCCTCTGAAGAGTCTTGGATGTGTCTTCAATGAGGAAAACGTACGTAAGGCTTCACTGGAACAAGAGAAATGGAAAACCAATTGACCGTTCTCTCAAGGTGGCGTGCGCATCCAAATTTAAGAAGCTTGACGGGCCACGATACCAGAACACGAGCTTATAATAAGAAATATCACACATTTCTATAATATGTTTTTTCGATAAGAATTCATTCGATTATTCTCCTCTTTAAATATAAAACTAGCTTCTGAATTTTACTGGATTTGCATTTTTCAATTGGGTCTGACACAAGTTGGATGCGCACGCAAACGGTCTATTCTCTTCCTCAAATATTCACGAAAGTTTAACTTGTTTGGAAGTGAAGTTGAACGATGAAAATGGAATCAAAGTATTAACCCAAAGCAAAAAATTTATTCGAAAATGAGGTTTAGGCCTTCATTTGCTTATTTCCCATACATTTTCTATAAAAAAGCCTGATAAAGCAACATTCTAACACAAATGCAACAAAACATATTTGTACAATTGAAGATACCGCTTCAAACAGGCATTTTATCATAGTACATCAGTTTCTAACTGTTTAAAGAAGGTTTTTGAGTGTTAACCCAAATTAACGAAAATTGGGATCAAAACTCATACGAAAGTCTTTTTGCCATTATTGCTCATCATTGAAAAAAATTTCCTCTTAATACTTGTAGATCTGGGCAAACGTGCAAGAAAACGACGAACCATTCAGACTCATCTATGACTTTACTAAACCAAACTTGTGGCAGCCATTCTTTTCCAAGAAATACCCACGACCTGCGTTATCTAGTGTCCAGGTAGGATGGTGGTAGCATCTGTTGCCTTCTCCCTATTTTAATTTTCGAGTTTTGCTATTAGTGACGCACTAGAGTGCAAACCATATATCCGTGAAATAGCACTAAACACATCTATTTCTTTCGTTTTTATTTGCTTCATTGGTGTTATTTTGTTCTAATCATTTAGTACTATTTCACGGATATATGGTTAGCATTTTACCAGTGTTCTCACATGTATTCTCACATGTCCACCGGTTTTTCCTCTCTCCTCTCAAATCAACTCTAACTAATTCAAACTGGTTAGAGCTGTGATCCGGGGTCATACGTGGACTGTATAGTGGCTGTCAGAGGCGCCTTCACATGCTATCAGTTCGACCCCGTTGAGCTGCGTCACTGCTGTACTTGCGGTAATGATAAGCGATGAAGTTTTTTTTGTATTGACCGTATGTGAAATAAATAGACCCCTTGCATGTGACGTCATAGCAAGCCCATCTGGGGGAAAAATAAAAGAATTCCAATCTCTTGAGAATTGGAACCCATTGTTTTGTACCCCAGATTGAGCTGCATTCCGAAGTGCTGCAAGGGGTCTATATCTGTTTTAATGCCTATATTTGTTTCCTTGTATTCTTCCAGAAAGAGACACTCGAGTACCGTACAGTAGATCGTGAATATGTGATACGAACACAAGACAGGTAGAGCACAGCGATCATGATACCATCATCATCTTTTGTATTTGTCCTGATGTCGCTTGCACCAACACGAATAACAAACGTCTGCGCGTGCTCAAAGTCCGTATGCAAATTAGTCAACGCCTCTTCATGCTATTGTAAAAGTATGTAAATTTGACTTTCAAAAATTTGTGAAATGGGCTTCACAAAATGTCAAAACTTTGTTGCCATGTTTGAAACTCAAGGCTGATTCTTTCATATTTTGTTTGTTAATACAGTATTTTGGTCTTACAAAATCGTACTCGCGAATTTTTTGTATTATTGGAGAAAACAAACATTTATTTTCTCACTGCTCTAATTCTTCTAAACTCTTAGAAAACATGCTGAAAGGCACGCATGCGCATACGTTTTTCACTACTGTCGCTTGCACCACATTCATCACTTGTACTTATCTCTTGTTTCATTTCTAATTTTTTTCTCTTTCATGATGGAATTCCATTTTTTTCCAGGGTTGAGAAGTTGTTAATGGATAAGATAATGAGCTGGAGACCTCGTTTCGTTACTCGTTGGAACAGGTTAGTGATGAATTACTACTGGGAGATGTTTAGACACAGGCTTCCTCAGCACGCTACGAGCGCCCCGGCATACCTTCACGTATACGCATGCTATTAGCAATTACGAGGTTGAGTGTTTAGTGGGGGGACGAAATAGACGCCATCTTCAAAAAATATGTCCCCTTAACCAGCGCCAAAATGTAGACTAATGAAGAAATAGAAAACGCGTGCGCGTGCTGTATGCAGTCACAAAGCACGCGGGGTTGGCAGAACACGAGAGAAGTGTTAGCTTCTGGACACTTCTCGAGTGTTCTGACAATCCCCAAGTGCTTTATAACGGCACACAGCACAGCAAACAAGTTTTTTATTTCTTTTATAAAATACAAATTACAATAATAGATAGGAATGACGTAACGGAAAGTGCGCGCACGTGCAATGTGCTCTCATAAAGCATGCGCAGTTATTTTATAAATGGTGTATATACCGCTCGTCGGACTATCTGCGTCGTGATTGGATGTTCGGTTCGTGTTCTTATTGGACGTTTCGTTGACGAGTCTCCGTCCAGAGTGTTCACATTTTTATTATAAACTTGTACTGTAATAGTAAAAATGGACTGTCCAAGAGTTTGTATGAGTATTTTTAACCCAAGGAACATTTTGTTTCTTCTTAAAAACAGGATATTAAATATATCTCGTCTTCACTCTTGTAGCTTATACATGATGTATATACTTGTCTCTCATCTACAGATACTGCACGCAAGCATTTAGAAATCTTCTTTCCAAGTAAGTTCCCTCATTTATTCATCTTTCCATCTATCCTCTCTTCCTTCTTTGTTTCTTTTTTTTCTTCTTTCTTTCTATCTTTTTTTACAATTGCGTCCGTGCAGGTAAGTATCTTTATTTTTGTCTTTTGTTATTTCACTCAAATATAAATCTAATTTAAAATACACCCAAGAAATACAAAAAAAAAAAAAAAAAAAAATCTCAAGTTAAGGGAGGTGAGGCCAACCAGTCATTTGTGATGCTAAATGTTTCCATTTTTCATTATGATATTGCAACTTATATATTCTTTCCCTTCTTTCCTTTCCTCTCCACTTCTCTATCAAATTACCCATCCATTACTCCAGTCATTAAAAGCTGTTTTTTTCTTTTTTCTTTTCTTTTCTTTTCTTTTCTTATTTATATTGTCAATATTTATGTCAAAGTCATAGCTTTTCTTACTTCCTTTTTTTTAAATTCCTTAAGCATCGAGCAGACTGTAGGTCAGGCAAACCCAGATAGCCACACAGCTGAACTCGACCAAATCCTATCATCTTACCAGGTAACGACCTCAAACAATCCACTTAATTTAACCACAAAATAATAATTAGTCCTATTTGGTGCCCTCGCACTACTTGGGGGCAACGGCACACATACAGTACATTACAACTACATTCAATATTCTGCGTTCAACTCTCAACTCACATGCTAATTTTTACGGAGGAGGAAAACTAGAAAAATCCTTGTGACAAGGGAAAGAACAATGCATCCAAAAAAAAAATCATAAAGGAAATCCTGTTCTACATTAATTAGATGAATTCGTGAAGAAACTGTAGCAAGATTCAAAAGCAATCTTAAGACATTTTTATTTAAGAAATATTTAAGTTGAATAAGTTATGCAATGTATAAATATGTGTATTTAGACTGTCACTCATGTAAGGTGCAACGAGGTTAGAAATGCGCCATACAAGCATCTACATATTATTATTATTATTATTATTATTATTATTATTATTATTATTATTATTATTATTATTTGGTTTATAAGTACGAGGTGGCTTCCATCCCCTCATCATAGTGTTCCTGCAACCAGTTGCGAGGCCCCATTATTATGTAACACGTTCTTTTTCCTCTCTAGTTGTCTGGTTTTCCTATCAATATGCCATTCACAGACATCCCTCCAGTTATGGATGCAGTCTACAGCACAGGAGTGCATTCTATAGAGGATCCTGATGTAGAGTTTGCTCTAGCTACCCATATCCATCCGTACCCCCATGGTGTCATGTCTCTCTGGGTGTATGTAGGTACCCTAAAGCGTAAAGGTGCATACTAGTGTGTAGTAACTGACTGTACTCACAATAGCTACCCATATCCATCCGTACCCCCATGGTGGCATGTCTCTCTGGGTGTATGTAGGTACCCTAAAGCGTAAAGGTGCATACTAGTGTGTAGTAACTGACTGTACTCACTAGTTGTAGAGTTTGTTCTATCTACCCATATCCATCCATACCCCCATGGTGTCATGTGTGCCTGGGTGTATGTGGGTACCCTGAAGCATCACGGTATAGCCGTTACCCTAAAAGTGGTATTTTATCTGCTACAGGTGTACTTGATACAACCTGTTTCGCATTTGTTGCGAAGAATTTTTAACGTTTTTTTAAAATAACAAATTACCATCATCAAGATCCTTATCTTTGACTTCTAATGTGGTTCATTATGATTGGATAGTACTGGTTATCGTTCAAGCGTTTTAATTGGTTCCATTCAAATTGAGAAGCCATTTTAATGTCACATTATTGTTCGTTTCCCACTCATACGAAATCTGCTGTGAAAACATTTTCGTACTTAATTGTAGATAAAACATATTACTTAAACAGTTGTTATTTATTAGAGTTTTAAAAATATATCCTTCGTCAGTTTTAAAGCTTATTTTAAAAAATATATTAAAAAATAATTGAACACAAATGAAGATAATTATTCATAACGAAGCTCAATAAGATCGCAAAATATCTATTTTTGCTTACTACCGGTTTGAAATACTGGAATTTAGTCACGTGATCCACTAAATTCGATTTAAAATCAAGTGACTAATTGAGGTTCGCCATAGTGAATAAATAATCTATGTGTCTCAGTAAACGTCAATAATTGAACGTCAGTCTGAAAAACGTACGCGCTTGCGCCAAATTTCCCGCCATGAAAAACTGTACGCCAGGTCCGCTGGAAAATTGCACGATATTTGATCGATGTTCTCAAAGAAAAGCATTTTCCTAAAAGCATTAGAAAAGTTGTGATACTTTTATTTACCTTCAAGATATGAGCTTATTCTCTGCAATTTGGTTGTTGATTTTGGGATTTTTTCCCTTCGAAGCCGTGGGGACAACCACTGACTAGTTTTTTAGTACTGTCTGATCGATTGCCCTTCACTGAAGCATCATGGATATTTAAATCAAAACTAAACTCGCTCTAGCCTCAATATCGATGATTATGAAGACCCGGAAGAAACAAAGGGAGAACTGTTTGGTATTTTTAACATATTTGCTTGTGATGTCGGTACAAAAGATTCCTTCAAGATGCCAATTCTATTTCTTCTCCGATGCGATTTCTTTACCGCTGTCCTGAATTCTCTATTGAAAGCTCCGTATATAAATGGATTGATAGCACTGTTTAGATACGTTAAGAGCACTCCCATATAACTAGCACTCTCCGAAATAGCCATAAAAATTTGTATCAACAAAAGTAGAAAAAATGGCGTCCAACATACTATATACGCTATGATTATTACCAGGAGCATTTTGTAGGTCTTCTGCGATTTCTTTTGTGCGATACTCTGGCCATGGAATGTTTTCTGGCGAAGTGACGTAGTTGAAGGCGCTGGTGTTACACCGGAAACTGAAACCGAGTACTCCAAGTTGTCGATCTGCCGTCTGTGTGTGCGCGCGATTTTAAACACCACGTAGTTGACGAATATGATAAAACACGTTGGAAGAAGAAACAGTAAGACAAATGCAAGAACTGTGAAGTTAGTAGAAAGACCTTGTGTGGTGCAGAGAACTCTGGTTGCCGAGTATTTATAACTAAGTGTGTAGAGAATACCAAAGAAAAGAGATATCATCCAAACCAGTCCGATCAAGAGCTTGACCTTGCTATCACGCATGCGCAGGTTGTAGGTCAGAGGTGACGTCACAGCGACGTAGCGATCCCAGCTGACAACACAGAGATTGATGAGAGACGCACAGGCAAACCATATACTGACTGAAGTCCAGAAATCACAGGCTATTTCTCCTAATATCCACTTGCCTAGTACGTATCAAAAAATGTGATTAATCAATTATTTTATTATGTATTTATCATAATTAACCAATCAGTGTATTAAGTCGATGCTTTTATCCAATACATTTATCCACTGGATAACGTCGTCAGATAACGCTCTGCACCCCTTCGTACAACCGGGCCCTGAAGAATAATTGCCGAAGTTGGATGATATGAATTTTCAAAAATCAAAATTTTGCATTGTGTTTTTTTCGCCTAAAAAAAACCGGTAACGCCTACGCACTTCATAGCTTTATATCGATGACGTGATGCATGAGCAACACAAAAGTTTAAGGAACAATGAAAACATGAGTTTTTGTTTGTTGTGTTGTGCTGTGGTGATCAATCAAAGGCGCAACAAAGAACGCGAAGAGTTTTTTTGTGTAAAGTAACTCTAATGATCAATAATCTGGTGAAACAGCCATAGGTAAAGGAGTTTAGTAGCTATTGCTTCAAGACTTATTTTAACATGTTGATCGTCATGTTGATCGTCAACAGCATGACTTCATTACGTGTCACAGGTATCCGGGGCACTAGTCTCATTGCATTGCCGGTAAACTTCTTAAAAAGTCCTTGAATTTGAAAACCGTTTTATTAAGGTTTTACATATTCTGCGTACTCGGTAGTTGCCAGCTGCATATTTGGTTATGCGCTGCCGTCAATCAAAAATAATCAGTCGGTACCTTTAATAATTTTGCGGCCTGGCTGCAGTGATAAACCAATTTCACAATTAACCGTTCGCAGCATATGGAAAATCGCAGTAAGCGGCACTTGAAAAGCCGGCTTGAGAAACTTGGAAAAATAACCTCTTGCAGAAAAGTCCCGCTTGTTACTTGAAAATTTCAGGTTTTATTGTAATCTATCTATGGAGTGGTAAAAAAATGAATTTGTTCCAGAAATATGGCACACTAGGGTTTATTCCATTCATTCAGTGTCAATCCTGTAATATCTTCTAAGGAATCTCTCATGAACCGGCCGCATCGCTCGTATTTCGTGAAACTTCAAAAAGAATTCAACATTCGCGTTATCAAAATCTTAATCGCAGAAAATATTCCTTTCAGCGAACTTCTTTCAGAGCTTAAGAAACTATCTGAAGTAGTTTTGCATTAGCAAATGTCTGGTCACCTCGGGTCTAAGGCGTCCCCAAGGCATAGAGTTAAAGTATAGTGTACGTCTTACCTTCCATATAGCCTGTAACATGATAGACCAGTTGTAATGGAACAACCAAAAATCCAACGCACAAATCCGCCACAGCCAAACTAACCACAAAATAGAATGCAGGATAATGAAGCTTTCGAGTCACGCAAACAGTTCTTATAACTACTAGATTGCCACAGATAGCGACAATTATTATTAAGACCAGGAACAGTGCTATCGGTGTAAAGATTGGGTTGTTGAGCGCTTCGAGGAGAGTTCTGCTCTGACCTGCGTTCGTCGAGCAGTTGTTTTCCATAGAGGCGACTGAAAGAAAATAAAAATTAACTGCCTTCTCGTACCTTATATAGTTCTGTACTAAAATTAATTATATTCGTTTCTTCCTGCTTATTCGGGAACGTCTATGCAAACTAAGTATCTTTACTGTTTTCCCAAAGGAATTTCTTTGTTTTCCTAAGAATCTTTTAAAAATTATTCGTAGTTGGAGGACAATAGCCAAATCTTTTTAGCGTGAGTTGAATTGTTTGGTTGCTCGTTATAGGTGCTTTTCACATTTCGGAAACCTCAACAACCACGCGGCACTAGACACGTTCGGCGTTTGTGCTCCCCTACACCGGTCAAGCTTACACGTTTAGCTTTTTGCTGGCAAGGGGGGGCCAAAAACGCAGAAGTTAGATGTTACGTACAGGATATTGATGAGACCCTCAATGTTTTTTATTGCAAGAAAATAAATACATAGTTTTTGTTCAAAGCAAATGTGTCGTGAATACTAAATACTGCTTCAGCTTGAGTCTTCACGAGTAAATTATAACGAGAGTCTTTTAGAAGCCAAAACCAGGCTGAACCAATTTGTTTTACCTATTGTAGTCAATACATCTCTTTTTGTAGAAATACAAAATACTTTTCTTTACTTTGCATCGATCGTTTTAATAAGAAACAAGTTTCTACAACTGAATAAGAAACGAGTTGCTGAATTTAAATCAAGGAACGTGTTGCTCTGCCCTGTGTTTAGAGCCGGTTTGTTAGGCCTTTCCTACGAAAGGTCAGTGCTGCTTGTTTAAAAGCATGCAGCAGCTTGTGTCTTATTTGCAGCAACTCTTACCAAAAGTAGAAACGAATTCTACTTTTCTCAACGATTGCTGCAACTTGTCTTGCAACATTTTCAAATTGCGCTGTAGGTTACACGTTGCAATGCTCCATGCAACTTGTGTCGGCAACGCCGTTGCAAGACAAGTTGGAGAGAAAATCTTAATCGCGCCTTTAGGGGCCACTAGAAAAGACCTAACAAAGTCTACACATGAGAGAGTGCGGACGGGGATTTGGAGCAAGCGAGAAACCAAATTTCAGCGTGCGTGATTTCTTAGCTACAGAGTTCGCAGTATTTATGAAAATGGCAGTGAAAAGGCAATCCGTATAACAATGGTTTTGTCCAAGATTGTAGCCTAATGCATTTTTCAGGAAACGTATGCACGCAGATATCGATTAACATACTATCTTATACCCCATTCACACCTAAACGTGTTTAGTTAAACTATGTTTTCATTAGGAAAAAAATTGAGAAACCTACAATATAATGAAACTTTCTAAAATATTATCAGAGCAAGACAAAGGATAGTTTACATAAATTATTTTACCAATTATTGTGCAGTGTTCGTAGATAATTTTCCAAACCTGTTTAGTTAAACCACTTTAAAACATGTTTAAGCCTTGGTGTGAATGGGGTATAAGACTTTGTTTTTGAAATCTTAAAAAAATAATTGAAAAGTGAAAGTAATATTAGAAGAAAAAACAAATGGCTGTCTCAATATAATAAATATGTTTATAAAAGCACGAATTTTCGAATAAAACAATAAACAAATGAGTTGAATGCTCGGTAATGGCGGCATTATTAAACGATACTTCCGCTACCCTCAAGCAATAGTTTCGATTCACAGCTGTCGCCGGAGAAAATGACAAAAATATCCCTAAAATCATGCATGTCAAGCTGTTGAAGAAACTGCCTGAAACATTGTTTATAATGCCTTAGTTGTATATCTTTGCACAGTTATGAAAAAGATAAAATCGTTGAGTTAGTATTATGAATGTTCGCAACAAAGGAGAAAGATGGCTCCGACAATAGACCAATTAAAAACGCAAGAAAATATAGTAGCAGCAACGCAATTTGTTCTCGATGTCTGACAACCCAGCTTCATTAATTTGTAAGACAAATTATTATTATCGTTGAATACGCGACAATTAGTCTAAATCTCTTAGTCTGATAGGTGGCAAAATATGATTATGGACCCAAACGTCGTTTGAAAACCCGTTGGGCCACTTTCTTTCTAAAGCAGGTTTTGTGTAAACTCAGTGATACTCGTACAGATGAATCTAACGGAAGGGAATAAACGTCTAATAGACGTCCTAAAGAAACCAAAGGTCGCTGTAACCAGCGTATTTTTAGTACTTTTGATTTTGTGTACTCTGGTTGGGAATTTTCTTGTTATTTGGACTATTTTCACGACTCGACGTTTGAGGTTTTCAGCGTTCTTCTTCGTGGCGAGTTTGGCTGTGGCAGATTTTCTAGTTGGACTTCGCTTATCACCTTACTTTTGAAATGACAGGTAAGCTAGTGTTTTACTTTAATATTACATTTCTCTTTTCTGTTACTACATAAATCATGCATTTTGGAATTTTACTTGTGGCTGGTTGTATAAAATAGAGTCAAACTGTTGTTTTCCTTAATGTATATCAATTGCAAGGCTGAGCACGGTAAAAAACGATCGAAATTCCTTCGATATTTCCAAAACAATTTTGAATACAAAGTCACAAATCTTCTTCCAGTTATTATCATATTCGTGTTTTAAATCTATTGCTCAAAATAAAACTAAAGGGATATAAGTGTTTCCCAGATAAACAAAAAACAAAAACAAAAATCAAGGTGAAATATTTGGCTAATTTTCAGCAAAAACTTTCACCGCGCAAAAACCAAAAACACCTTTAGAGCTTTTTAATTTTTTCTTCTTATCAAGGAAAGACTAGAAAAATTAATTTGATTTTTATCTTTCTCTTTTCCGTTTTTTCCTGAGCGGATATGGCAGTTTTCTAACCTTGAATCGGTTAATCGTTTAACCGGAACCATTTGATGAACAACATTCATCATGATAGATTTCTGTCCTAGTACTGTCGTAAACATGAAACGCGAGACAAATAGCCAAATTATTATCATTCTTTTTTTTACTTAATCTTCGTTTCGCCCGCTCACTATAATAAGCCTTTTCATAGTTTAAGAATCGATTCCACTGCGCATGCGATTTTATCCCGAATTTCTCACCTTTTTTGTCTAAACCTTCTTTTGTTCTTAATTAAACAAAAGAAGGTGAGAAATTCGGGATAAAATCGCATGCGCAGTGGAATCGATTCTTAAACTATGAAAAGGCTTATTGACACAAATGATTCGTATGTTGATTTTTGTATAAATAAAGAAACGCTAAATTCCGGAACAAACCGTTCAAAGGACATCTAGTTAGGTCAGTTGGTAAGAGCATCGGTCTGTTGTGCGGGAGGTCGTGGTTCAAGCCTCGGCCGGACCAACACTCAGTCAGGGTCTAACTGAGGAGAAGGTGCTGCCTTTGTAATTACATCCCAAATGGTTAGACCTTCAAGTGAGAGATTATAAGAGAGGTTGTGAGTATGAGATGTAGGCACTGAGGGTGGTCACTGCCAGGGTTTCTTTACGCACTCAGTGATTCTTTTACGATGAAGTGTGGAGAGAAAGCCCGCCATTTAAAGTGGTCATTTGACCCACTTGAAAGTCTAGCCATTTGCAGATGTAATTACCAATATTTTAAGACCCTGAGCGTTGGTCCGGCCGGGACTCGATCCACGACCTCTCGCAAGAAAGTCATGCCCGGACTTGGATCAGACCAGAGGTTGTTATAGGGGTTAGATCTGTCAGTTAGCCGTGCCATGACTTAGATCAGCCTAGAGGTTGTTTCAGGGCTTGATCTGCGAGTAAGCTATGACCTGACTTAGATCAGCACAGAGGTTGTTTCAGGGTTCGATCTGCGAGTTAACCGTGCCATGACTTAGATCAGTCCAGAGGTTGTTTCAGGGTTTGATCTGTGAGTTAGCCATGCCCTGAATTAGATCAGCCCAGAGGTTGTTACAGGGTTCTATCTGTGAGATAGCCGTGCCCTGACTTAAATCAGCCCAGACGGGTTGTTACAGGGTTCTATCTGTGAGTTAGCCGTGCCCTGACTTAGATCAGCCCAGAGGTTGTTACAGGGTTCGGTCAGTGAGTTTGCCGTGCCCTGACTTAGATCAGCCCAGAGG